GGCCAGTATGGCGAATGTCTATTGGCGAAAGTTGAATTGGCGAAACGCGACTTTACCTTACTCAGACGCGTATATTATTCGCTTCTCAACATTAAGTACAAATGGCACCTTCGGCACTACAAAAATATAATCTGCGACCGCTGTTTTCTCGAACAGTCAATAACTGCTCTTGAAAATTTAATCAGCAACATAATCCAAGAAACAAACGAGTTACAAGGTATGTTGACTAATCAGTATTTTGCACCGAGTGTTTACATTTTTTTGTATTAGATTATCCTCAATAAAACAACCACCCTTCATAAACTCGAAACTAAGGAAAACCGTCTCAAAAAAGGTGATTAGTCCATGCTCAATCCGAACACTAGTTTGTTAACATTTCCAAAACACATTTTACGATAGGTTCAGATGTATGGCTTGGCAGATATGAAACGCATCCCTGGAATGGTCCAGTATTGTATCATCAAAGGTGAGGAGGGGTATACATATCTCATATGTCCTGCACAACTACAACGCATAACTCTCTCTCTGTAAAGGGTTGCAGCCAGACAAACAGAGAACGGGTATTCAAAAATTTCGAATTGATTTGTGTACAGCAGCTAAGTATAAGTTATTAAAACGGTATGGTGTAGGCGGATATTTCAAATACAATGATGATCTATTGTCAGATTGTACGTATCTATACAAATCCCTCCTAACTAATCTATAACATTTTGGGAGTTTTATGGGCAAGGTTAAGAATAAGAATTTGAGAATAATTGCGGCTATCATGTTAAGAATTATAATAAAATTTGTATTATTATGTTTATTATTATTAATTAAAAGTTATATTATTAGAACTTTTATTAAAATTCTTAACATGATAGCCGCAATTATTCTCGAATTCTTACCCTTCTAACTAACAAAATATAACATTTCGTTCTTTTCTTCGTTGAAGGAACATCGCCGTATCTTACCGGGTGGATTTGAATCGAGTATTAATTTTCGAATGAATGAATCAAGTTCAGGAAAAATACTAGACGTGGTGGTGATCGCAGAACGGGATGAAATCGAGAGTGTCACTTGATTCGAAGACGGAAACCGGAGGATTGAGAACATTGTACCTAAGAAAAGAGATAATGGGGTAAATAGGGCCATATTTCATTTGGCAAATTCTTTTTATACCTGATGTACACTGGACTATCGAGGATAAAAAATATTGATTTAATTTGTCACCTGCATTGTCACGAGGATGCCATTTATTATTCATTCTACACGGTTTTAATTGTTCCTTCTTATAGAACTTGCTTGAACCTATAAGACGAAAAAGACGATTATTAGTATACACACAAGTGTCACAAAACCAACTATAGGTGGTGTTATCCTTTTTAACTGCTAATTCGGCCACATCTTTAAAAAGAAGATTTGTTTCAGGATAAAAACAAGTACAATTTTTAAATTTCGCAAGCAAGTTACCCGGGATAATTCCAGTTGCAACAGAAGGGAATGCTGCTGCAATTTTTTCACATGAATGAGAATTGATAATACTTAAAATTTTTTGTAAAAAGTATTTAACAAAATAACTAAATTCGACGTTATTAGAAAAAATAAAATATTGGATAATTAAATGCTTGCTAATTCTTGTTGATGAGCTTGAATCTAACGTTAATATATCTTGTTCAGTTAAATTAAAAGTAGATGGAAAAATTTTGTGAATATAGAAGAGAATAATATCGATGAAAATGGACGTGAGTTTGCTAGGAGAAAGCTGTGGATTATGTTCAATAGTAAATTCGAGATCAAAATACGTAGGATATCCTAGGTCAGGATTCGAGCAATTCCTGAAAGGATTCGACCAAAGGGTGGTTCCAATTCTGATTCCGTTGGCTCCAAGCACCACTGGACAAGCGCCTTCTGTTCCACCTGTCGCTCAAAAAATTTATCATACTATCAAGGAGAAAACCCGGGATTATAGTCAAAACCCCACAGCCAACCTCGGCAATTCTGGGAAACCCCGTCGCGATTCGTTTCTGCACTGGTTTCAACTCTATTACTGACGGCTCCAGGTAGAACTTTTCAAGCCCTATCGATTGCACATCTTACTTTTTACTTTTGACAGAGTCATCAACGAGAAAATCGCTAATTAGCACCTTGATCATACGGCATCAAGGGTAAACAGGAGAAAATGCTGTGGCGATTCGTTTCTTCACTGGCTCCAACTCTATTATTGATGGTTCCAGATAGAACTCTTCACGCTCTATCGATTGCCCATCTTACATTTCACTTTTGACAGAGTCATCAACGAGAAAATCTCTAATTAGTGCCTTGATCATATGGCATCAAGGGCAAATATTCGAAAATCCTGTGGCGATTCGTTTCTCCACTGGCTCCAACTCTATCATTCATGGCACCAGATAGAACTTTTCATGCTCCATGGATTACACATCTTACATTTTACTTTTGACAGAATCATCAGCGAGAAAATCGCTAATTCGTGCCTTGATCATATGGCATCAAGGATAAATATGAGAAAATGCTGTAGCGATTCGTTTCTCCACTGGGTCCAACCCTATCATTCATGGCTCCAGATAGAACTCTTCACGCTCTATCGATTGCACATCTTACTTTTTACTTTTGACAGAGTCATCAGCGAGAAAATCGCTAATTAGTACCTTGATCATATGGCATCAAGGATAAATATGAGAAAATGCTGTGGCGATTCGTTTCTTTACTGGCTCCAACTCTATCATTGATGGCACCAGATAGATCTTTTCATGCTCTATCGATTACACCTCTTACTTTTTACTTTTGACAGAGTCATCAGCGAGAAAATCGCTAATTAGTAGCTTGATTATTAATCGTATTTGGAAGTTTATTTGTATCGAAGTAAAAAAAGGAATTAGTAAAAAAAATGAAAATGGAAAATGAAGTAATAAAATGATCAGGCTCTTGAGTGGTCAGTGGTAGGGTTTGATATGGAGAGACGGTTGAGGGCGATTTGTCTGTCTGTAAGAAAAGAAAAAAATCATGTTTTGTTTGGTAGGAAAAACAGTTTTATACTCACCTCGGGCTGAAATCGACTGAAAGCATTCTTCCACTCGATGGGAGTGAGGACAAACGAGGTTTCACTAACGTCAGCACTAAAAGTTTTGACGTCATCAGCAGTTTCTTGTTTTCTAGCACGGGTATTTGGCCCCTGCGGCACTGGTAGCGATGGATTGGAATGTAGAGATGAGTTATTCCTCGCTAGAACACAAAACCCTTCTGTTCGATCAATATCAACGTCATTTCCATCGCGCTCACTACCAGTTATTCCTCCTTTCTTTTCTTCAACAAGCTGATGGATATTGTGACGATTTAAATGCCAAAGCTTGTACAACGAGTGACGTGTAGTTTCGCTGTGATCAAGTTTTAATAGATCAATGAGTTCACCCCAAACAGAACGGTGCAAACCAGTCACAGCGTTTAGTCGCCATGTCTCGGTATCGAGAAGGCTAGTACGATGTTCGAGAGAAGCGATACCTGTAACCAATTGCTCTAGAGTAATTCGCGACCAAATATTCTTACTCTTGTTATTTGAACGCAAATCACCCATATATCAACAGCAATGGATACAGCTACTTGTTATTAAACAGAATAAAACTTTACCCGTTTACCAAAAATGCGCACGTAGCAATGAAAATTGTCGTCAAACAGGAATTTCGAAACAGGAGTTTGTCTATCGTCATTCGTTAAGTTCAAAACTGTACGTTATACTAATTCCTCTCTTGCTGAATACGAAGCGAAAAAAAGGAGAAAGAAATAGACGAATAAGAATGACGACGTTATCAAACATCAAACTGTTTCCTTCTTCCAAATCCATAAAGAAAGATGACTCACAATCTTCAGAGAGTCAATCATCTGTTATTAATAACTAGATACGACCAATCTCCTCAAGAAAGATATGATCGATTCTAACAATAATCAGAGAGTGAGCACCGGTGACAGGACATATAAATTTCAACTCATTCATCATTTCGATCAAATACTTCTATATTTTTTCGACAAACCCATCAATCGATATCAAATATATCCTAAAGAATCATATGTCCCCAAGCTAATACCAAAAAGCATCACTATCCCCCAACTTCAGACCGATTTAAAGATCAAACGCAATAAATCAACAAACATGATCCATCTAAAAACATAAAAACTACTCATCCGATCGCGAAGAAAAAAACACTACACCAACGAGCGATTTTATCGTTGATGACTCTGTCAAAAGTGAACAGCAAGATGTCTAATCGATAGAGCGTGAAGAGTTCTACCTGGAACCATTAAAAATAGAGTTGGAGCCAGTGAAGAAACGAATCGCCACAGCATTTTCTCATATTTATCCTTGATGCCATATGATCAAGGCACGAATTAGCGATTTTCTCGCTGATGATTCTGTCAAAAGTAAAATGTAAGATGTGTAATCCATTGAGCATGAAAAGTTCTATCTGGTGCCATGAATGATAGAGTTGGAGCCAGTGAAGAAACGAATCGCCACAGCATTTTCTCATATTTGCCCTTGATGCCATATGATCAAGGCACTAATTAGAGATTTTCTCGTTGATGATTCTGTCAAAAGTGAAATGTAAGATGTGTAATCCATTGAGCATGAAAAGTTCTACCTGGAACCATTAAAAATAGAGTTGGAGCCAGTGAAGAAACGAATCGCCACAGGATTTTCGAATATTTGCCCTTGATGCCATATGATCAAGGCACTAATTAGAGATTTTCTCGTTGATGACTCTGTCAAAAGTGAAATGTAAGATGGGCAATCGATAGAGCGTGAAGAGTTCTATCTGGAACCATCAATAATGGAGTTGGAGCCAGTGAGGAAACGAATCGCCACAGCATTTTCTCATGTTTACCCTTGATGCCGTATGATCAAGGTGCTAATTAGCGATTTTCTCGTTGATGACTCTGTCAAAAGTAAAAAGTAAGATGTGCAATCGATAGGGCATGAAAAGTTCTACCTGGAGCCGTCAGTAATAGAGTTGGAACCAGTGCAGAAACGAATCGCGACGGGGTTTCCCAGAATTGCCGGAGTTGGCTGTGGGTTTTTGACTATAATCCCGGGTTTTCTCCTTGATAGTATGATAAATTTTTTGAGCGACAGGTGGAACAGAAGGCGCTTGTCCAGTGGTGCTTGGAGCCAACGGAATTAGAATTGGAACCACCCTTTGGTCGAATCTTTTCAGGAATTGCTCGAATCCTGACCTAGGATATCCTATGTGATCAAAATACATTTTTATCGGCTGCCCTTGTTGAATAATTTCGTACGAATGATGGTGGACGGCTGGAACTTGTTTGTAATACGATAAAAATTCAATAATATCGCAAACGAGAAATAGAAAACGGCCGTTTGGTGGTGATTCGAAGGCGAACAGTCGAATATCAGCTGTAGTTGGAGAATCGGAATGCAGGATAGATTGTCGATAATGCAGTGCGTGCTTTAGCCGCTGAAATATTTTCATCGATGGCGTATTTTCGTAAGGAAAGGTATTGAAGTGGTAGTTCGACATGATGTAAAGAAGCTATAATCGAATAAAAAGATTGTTAGAACAATATCAAGAAACATTTGTACAAGATGGATTTAGACCAATAGATTTTTCCGGCTACTCGTATAGAATATTTGTTGAAGTTATACATTAAAGAATCCTTATAGGCTATCCGGGGAAAATGACTGGACGGCGGCACATGAAACGCTTTTATTGTACAATTTTTATACAAAATCAAACCGAAGGCCGTTTGATACACATATAACAAGAAAACAGGAGAATAATTTCACAAATCAGACAATCACTTTTCTTTTTCATCAATATATCGTTCTTGACTCGCCTGTTCTTGTTCACGTTCGTTTTTTACAATCACTAATCTTAGAATCATGTCAAAAAGAAAA